CTGGCCCATGAGGCAGGGTCTGCCACCAGACACAGGCAGGGCTCATCAGAGGTGGATGTGCAGCTGTGGACTTGCAGTCCACTCCCAGACTGGGCTGCTGCTGGTGGTGGAAGGCAGGAGATAGACAAAGGCGCAGGTGCTGACTCAGCTCCACCCCCAGCTCTGGTCCTTCCCTTTCTCTCTTTACCCAGCACTGGTCTGAGGATGTCCGTTTGTCTTATTTATTTTTTTTTAAATATTTTTAGTTTTCTATGGGAGGCAGAGATGGAGTGCAAGAGTGCTCCTGTGCACTGGTTCACTCTCCAAATGCCTACAGATGAGGGTAAAGTCAGGAGCCAGAAACTCAAGCCAGGTCCCCCATATGTGTGGCAGGAACTTAACTACTTGTGCTAGCACTGGCTGCCTTCCCCAGGGCATGTTAGCAGAGAGTAAGAATCAGGAGTGCAGCCGGGACTTGGGCCCGCACACTCGAATGTGGGATGTGGGCATCCCAAGTGGTGTCTTAATGGATCTGCCACACTCTCAGCCCTGATGCTGTCCCTTTCGATGGTGAAGCTGGACTGAGCGGGGTTTGCTGCCAGAGGGCCTTGCAAATGACATTAATCAGAGGTACTTTTCATGTATTATAGGAGAAGGTAGATGGCAGAAAGAGTCTCTCACAACTCTGGCCACAGATTATGTAGATTAAAAAGGCAATACTTTTTCTACTATATAGGTTGTATATCCTTTATCCAAAATACTTGAGACCAGAATATTTGGGATTCCAGATTCTGTTGGGTTTTGGAATATTTGTAGGTACATAATGATTTATCTTGGGAGTGGGAACCAAGTCTGAGCATGAAATTCATTTGTTTTGTGTACCCAGAGCTGGAAGGTAATTTTTAAAAATACATCCTTTTTAGTACAACTGTGTTTTGACTACAACGTGTCAAGTGAAGTCAGGTGTGGAATTTTCTACTTGTGACATCGTGTCTGTCCTCAAAGGCCTTGTATTTTGGAGCACTTAGGATTTTAGGTTTCAGTTTAGGGGCGCTCTACCTGTACTAAGGGTCACATTAGGAGGTGGCAGTGGTGAGAGTCTCTTGGGAAAATTATGCATTGGGTCCTCCCCCTCACTTCTTGGAGGATTTACTCTGGAGTTTGGCTTGGTTTTCTCAAGACTTCCATTTCGTCTTGGCAAATGATTGGCAAAGCGCAGCCTCCCCTGGCACATGCAGAGAAGACACAGGAGCTCATTGGATGAGTCTGATCACTACTCTCCATAACATCCCACTGTGGATGAGGCTGCTCTCTCTTCTCATTTTACTGAATTGATTAAAAAAAAGAAGCTGTGGGGGCTGGTGCTGTCATGCAGTGGGTGAAGCCTCTGCCTATGATGCCAGCATCACTTATGAGCACTGGTTGGAGTCCCAGCTGCTCCACTTTTCTTTTTTTTTTTTTTTTTGGCATTTAAAAAAATTCATTTGACAGAGTTACACACACACACACACACACACACAGAGAGAGAGAGAGAGAGAGAGAGAGAGAGAGAGAGAGAGAGGTCTTCCTTCTGTTGGTTCACTCTCCAAATGGCTGCTATGGCCAGCACTGCACCGATCCGAAGCCAGGAGCCAGGTGCTTCCTCCTGGTCTCCCACGCAGGTGCAGGGCCCAAGCACCTGGGCCATCCTCCACTGCACTCCCGGGCCACAGCAGAGAGCTGGACTAGAAGAGGAGCAACCGGGACTAGAATCCAGTGCCCATGAGGGATGCTGGCCCCGCAGGCAGAGTGTTAACCAAGTGAGCCACAGTGCTGGCCCCAGCTGCTCCACTTTCAATCCAGCTCCCTGCTAATGCTCCTGGGAAAGCAGCAGACGATGATCCAAGTGCTTGGGTCCCTGCCACCCATGTGGGAGACCTAGACAGAATTCCAGGCTCCTGGCTTCAGCCTGGGCCAGGCCTGATTGTTGAGGCCATTTGGGAAGTAAGCTAGTGGATAGAAAGTCTCTGTCACTTTGTCTTTCAAATGAATAAATAAATAAATCTTTAAAAAAAAAAACAAACAAGTTTAGGTCATTGTGAAAAGAGAGCCCTAGTGACAGAAATGAAAGAAGTAGGAGACAGGGGTACTTGTTTAAAAAAGGAAGTTCAGAATTGATAGAAAGTCCTATTCAGAGGTGATTCAGATAGGTGATGTGAGCTAATCTACCCTACACTCAATACACAAGTAGGAAGAAGTGATGCATTCTGGTTTTTGCTAGTGTTTGTGCCAGGGCCAACACTGCTCCAGTGTGAAAACAACTAGTGGCCGTAAAATGTTTGAGAGAGAGGAGTCTAAGAAGTCTTAAGTTTCTGCATAAGGTGGAGATAGATGAGAAAAAAGGGACAAGGGACATATTAAGTATTTCTGTGCTCACAATTCTGGGGATTCATAAGGGTCTTGAGCTGTGTCCATTTGGGATACTGAGACATGGCTCCAATTTCTGAATTAGATGTGGTGGTAGGTGCCACTCATGGACTGACTTCTGTTTAAGGACTTTCGTAGAGGATTTAATGCCACTTGTAAGCTGTGACTTTGAGCACGTTAGTTAATCTCTGTTTCCTCATCAGTAAAAATGAGAGTAATAGTATGCCCCTCACAGGGTGACAGGGAGGAGCAAGTGAATTAATATATGTAATTTCCTGAGAATGTGCCTGGCATGTAGTGAGCACTGTGAGTGTTAGAAATCATGATTATACCTTGTTTGGCCATCTCAGCTATCTCCCCCTATTGCTCATCTGTTCATCTCTCACTGACAGGTTGCAGGCTTGGTAAAGTTTCCAGTCTCCTTGGTAGATCTATAGAGAAGCAGGCATTTTCCTATGAGCCAAGCTGGTTTGGGGTTTGGTGAAAGGCTGGTCACGATCAGTGATTGCTTCAAGTCTATCAGTAAGGCCTTGAAGAAAGGGGTAAGACATCTGGTCAGTCTTCATGGAGTCCCTACATCTAGTCATTACCACATCTTAACCTTGCCAGCTTCATGGTGATGTCTTGTAATAGAAGCTCTTCAAGAATATTTTATTTTTATGTTTCTTTTCATTTTATTTGAAAGGCAGAGAGAGAGAGAGAGGGAGAGAGAGAGAATATGCTTGTATCCACTGGTTCATTCCCAAATGCCTGCAACAGCCAGAGTTGGGCCAGGCTGGAGCCAGGAGCCTGGGCCTTGGTTTGGGTCTCCTAACAAGATGGCAGGAAGCCATGTATTTGAACCATCAACTCGCTGCCTCCCAGGATGCACATTAGCAGGAAGGTAGATCTGAAGTGGCTGAGCTGGAACTCAAACAAGACACCAAGATATGGGATGTGGTTGACTTAACTACTGAGCCAAACACACACCTCTGTGGTGAATCTTAATGTTTTAATTTTTACTCATTAGCTTAAGTTGGGTTTCTGTCTCCTACATAAGAAAGGTGTGCCATTACTTTTTTTTTTTTAAGTAACATAAGTCCAGTTTTCTTGAGAGTATGATGGGAATATTAAGATACTGCTGGGGCCGGTGCTGTGGCATAGCAGGTAAAGCCACCGCCTGCAGTGCTGGCATCCCATATGGGTGCCAGTTCGAGCCCTGGCTGCTCCTCTTCCAATCAAACTCTCTGCTATGGCCTGGGAAGGCAGCAGAAGATGGCCCAAGCCCTTGGGCCCCTGAATCTGCTTGGGAGACCCACGAGAAGCTCCTGGCTCCTGGCTTCGGATCAGTGCAGCTCTGACTGTTGTGGCCAATTGGGGAGTGGACCAGTGGTTGGAAGACCTCTCTCTTCTTCCCATCTCTCTGTGTAACTGACTTTCAAATACATAAATCTTAAAACACCTCTAAAGCAATATCTTTTTTATCAGTTATCTTCCTCCATCATTCACATTTTAGTATAAATCAGTCCTGATCCAAACTCTTTTAGTTTCCAGAGTAACACCTGCTACCAAGTGAAGGCTGAACAGGTTTTCGGGATGGGAGGATAAAGAAGTTCAAGAGTTTCTTTGGGTAGCGTCAAAGCACTCTGTGCCAGCAACTGAGGACTTTGAAAAGGTAGGAAGAAATGGGGAGAGCAAGAAAACGCTTTGCGGAGGCTGGAGGCAGAAGGCGGATGACAGGTGGTGACCCTGTGTCCTCCACACCGAAAAGCCTTCTGCATAGTTCTGCATCTCCAAAGAGCCTCTGACTCCGGAGGCCTCTCAGAATGTGGGCCTGGGGTGGGGGTGGGGGCGCAGGTCAACACGATGCGGGTTGCAGCAAAGTCTCCGTGGGAACTGGGACCTTGTGGATCCCGGGTCCCTCAAAGGCACGTGTTCTCCCAAAGTCAACCTGCTTAGGTCACAAATTGACCTCTCATAACTGCAGTGCGGGTGTAGACCTTGCCTTCTCTCTGGAATGGATTCTGAGGTCGCACACCAGAGGCGTACAGAAATCGCTGCAGGATGGGAAGTGTGGGGAGTCTTGGGGGGAACAAACGCTGCTGCCTTTCCCTGACCCCCTGAAGGGGAAGACAGATCGCTACCCACCTGGGTTTGGAAGCTCTGTCCTTTGGAGCTGGAGCCAGGCAGGCTGGCGAGGTAGCTAGGTAGTCAGGCATCAGCTCTGAGACCAGAGCCCCTGGCTCTCCCCGCCCATTTCCCGGGAACTGAATGACAATATAGCAGCAAACAAACTTTCCCTCTCAAGGTAGGTAATGGAAGAGGAGCGTGAGCCTATTCCTTGGGGCTCAGCCCGCTCCTCCCCACCGTGCCCTGGGGACCAGCCAGTGAGGAAAGAACTCAGCACTAAGGACCACTGCCCCAATGTGGGTGCCAGGAGCCCTCGGAGCCCTCCCCAGAGCAAGTGTCCACCAAGCCCAGAGATCTCGCCAAGCCCTTTGCGAGATCGACTCCCACGCCCGCCGAGAGGGTCCTGCGAACAGCAGGTGTCACCCTTTTGCTTCCAAACCCCAACTGCCTTCAGGTGCGTCGCGCACTCTCCAAACTTGGGTGTTGAGAGCTGCGGCCTCGCGGGGTAGCTGGGCCCATCTGCTCCCCGACAGCGCGTTCCCGTGTGGTGTGGGGTCGCACCTGTCCCTCGGCGCTGCCCCGGGGAACTGGCGGGGTGAAGTTCCGGGCAGCAGGTGTGTGCAGACGCCCCCGGGGAGTCTCAGAGGCCGGAGACGGAACTAGCACGGGAGAGGGGGAAGGCAGCGTGAGATTCCAAGTCCCTCCTCCTCCCCCTCGCAGTTTCATGGCGGGAGCGGCTCGGCGCGGCTGGGGGCTACGCACGGAATCGCTGGGACCATGGCCTCGCCCTCCGCTCGAGGCCAGGTCCCAGCGCGCCTGCAGTACGGCGTTCAGCTGCTCTTCGTGACCGAGGAGCAGTTCTTCAGCGCTGGGCAACTCTCGCCTGCCAACTCGCAGGCTCTGCGGCTGGAGGTGCTCTTGGCAGAGGACGAGGCGACCGCGACGGTGATTGACGGTGAAGTACTGGCGCCACCCACGCGCGCGAGTCCTGCTCGAAAGTTGCGGCCCACGTGCGCGCGAGTGCGGTTGTAGGCGTGCGGTGCGTGTGTGTTTAGCTCGGTGTGCTATAGCAATGTAGGAGTGTGGGCGCACTTGTGTAGGAGCGCAGGTGTGTGCGCTCGGCGCGAGTGATGAAGGCGCAGGTGTTTGGCCCTGAGAGGGTGTATAAGGGAGCAAGTGTGTACCCCAAGCGCGGTTACGTGGGGCCGCTGTGTCCATACGGTGGTGAGTACGGTGGTGTTCGTCCGCCGTGTGCGTACAAGAAAGTACAGCTAGTGCACTTCTAGTATCGCCCAGCAGGTGTGCATCCCCTAAAGCTCGCTGGCAGGGATAACTTTCTGGTCCTATAAACGCCCAACTCGGTCCCGCTATATCTTTATTGCTCTCAGAGAACTTCGGAGCTGCAGGTAAGAGGCCTGGAAACTGGTTTGAGTCTTCAGTTGGAGCTGCCAGAAGTGAGGCCCAGAGGAGAATCAAGTTAGGAGCAGAGCAGGTCAGGAGCCCGATTCTTTCTACTTTCTGGCCGGTTGTTTCCGGTTCCCTGTTCAAGCCCACTTTGCAGTCACAGCTCCAAGTGTCTCGTGGGGGTGAAGTTTAGGGAGGACAGAGCAGGTGTATAGCGTTCTCAGTGGCTGGCATGGCCAAGGCCACGTCCTTTCGCCATTACTTTTTGGTTCAGGAAGTAAGCGTCACAGAAATGGTGCAAGCTCAGACTCTGGGCTGAGTGAGCTGTGGGCAAGTTAGGGGAGAGCTTCAAACCTTTGTGGGACCCCGGAACGTTCCGCGGGTGTATGGGAACGAGTAGATACTGGCTTGAAGAAATGTGGTGTGCATTTGGGCAGGAAATCTTGCGTTTTCTGAGGGTTTCACGCCCTGCTTCTAGCTCACTGAGTACGGCGTTCTGGCGGCTGTGGCGAGCAGAGCAGGTCTCTTTGATTTTTATGACTCAAGGCTTCCGTGGTTTCTCCCCACCCCAGCTTCTAAGACTGTGTAGCGTTTCAAGTTCTGTGCTGTGGGCTCTTGTGAGAATTTTAGGGGAACTGTCCTCACCGAAAAGTAGGATCCAAGCTCCTTGCTTTATTTTCCGCACATTAGAACAGTGTCAGACGTGTTGTAGGAAATTAGTAAGTGGTGGCTGCAGAATGAAAGAATACCTTGGAATCTGTCTTCTGCCTTTACCGTAGACCAGGATAGGGGAGTCTTAAAAGAAATGGACTGTGGTTTGACTCTCTTAGGAGCTTGAGGCTTGGTAAGGGACCAAAAGCCTTACTCAGTTACTTGTTGATTTTTCTCCTTTGAAAGCAGGAGGGGAAAGGGAGTGGGTTTTAATGTTTTTCCTGGGATTCTGAAACCTAAGGTGCTAGAAAAGTGTTGTTTGCCCATTACAGTAAATTATTTTTGAACATCTGCAGTCATATACAAGAATTGAGATTGACACATTACCTGATTCCCATGGTGGTGTTTCCCACAAACCCATATTTAGAGAGAAATGATCTGAGGTGCAGGTGGCTGGAGCTGTTAGCTCCCCCAAGGTTTACCCAGTTCCTGGGTTGTGTGGCCACCCTTACTCACAGAGAGGAATATGCTAGCCTTTGGTGCAGCAAACAGAGTCCAGACCAGGTGAGTGGGGATGGAAGAAACAAGCCGCAGGCAGGCAGGCATTTTTATAAGATTTTGGCTGAATTCCTCAGGAGATCCTCACTGGTAAGGAAGGAAAGGGCCCCCTCTCCTGTCCAGAGTTGTGTTCTGTGCCTGAATGTAGGTGTTCAAGCGTGGTACCCCTCACAGAAGTTCTAGACAAACGATCCTAGAGGCTTCCTCTAAAGTAGCTCGTTTTACTCTGTGCCAGTGGGAGCCCTGTGGACAGTGGTAGAGCAAGCTTAGGAAGAACTTCCAGTGAACTATTTGATAAAAGATGTGGTGTACTCAAATGTTGCACATTTAGTAGCATAGTCTTGAATGGCTGGGCTTTCTCCTTGGATGAAAAGCAGCCCAACTTTTTTTTTTTTTTTTAAGATTTATTTTATTTATATGAAAGACGGAGTTAAAGAGGGAGAGACACAGAGAGGTCTTCCATCTGCTGGTTCACTCCCCAGATGGCCGCAATGGCTAGAGCTGCGTCCATCTGACGCTAGGAGGCAGGAGCTTCCTCGGGGTCTCCTACACAGGTGCAGGGGCCCAAGGAGTTGGATCGTCTTTTACTGCTTTCCCAGGCCACAGCAGAGAGCTGGATCAGAAGAGGAGCAACTAGGACTAGAACCAGCGCCCATATGGGATGCCAGCGCTTCAGGACAGGACTTTAAACCACTGTGCCACAGTGCCGGCCGCCACCCCCAACTTCATTTAAATTTGATTAATTTATTTGAGAGACACAGCGAAACACTGAACTCCATCCTCTGGTTTACTCCCTAAATGCCTGAAGTGGCCAGGACTGGGCTGGGTTAACGCCAGGAGCCAGGAACTCAATGGAGGTCTTCCATGTAGATGGCATGGGTCTGCATTCGTAGGAAGCTGGAATTAAGAGTTGGACCTGGGAATTGAATCCAGGTACTGGACTGTGAGGCCCCAGCGTCTTAACCAGTGACTTAATGGTTAGGTTAAATGCCTGCTACTGCTAAACTTCTTTAATGGACTCTAAGAATGGGCCCAAGCAATCTGTGTTAAGAAATCATGCAGTTTCTAAGCTCACTTGTTTAATAAGTAGACCCAGGAACAACTCTGCCTGGATTCAAATCCTGGCTACATTTAATGAATTATTCACCCTATTTAAACATTAGTTTCTTCTGTAAAACACAATTGCTAATACTGTGTTAGGATTAAATAAAATCCTGCATATACCATGTTTTGGACATGGCTAGTATATATCAGAAGCCCATTAAATGTTAGTGATTACTATTAATATTATATCTACTTTTGTTTCCAAAGCAACAGTCACATTAGGCTGTTCTGAGACTAGGATTTATTTTTGTGAAGATGTTGCAAAGGAAACAATTAAAGCTGGTACATAATAACTTGGAAAATTTGAATAATCTCTTAGAATCCGGATTTCAATAGCTCGACTTGTAGAGAATGGCACACAACAACACAAATCAATTAGTTCTCATTTCAGGTTCTCCAAAATTGTCAACAATTTTATGAAAGGAACACACCAAGGGTCCAGTAAGTAGCTTCCTGTGGCTTGTGAATTCTAGAAAGACCTTCATTCTTGCCTGTTACCGGAAATATTTTTAAGTGTCTGTCCTGCAGGAGCCTACCTGAGAGCATGCTTAATTCCTCCTTTTATCCCTGCGTCCTTCCGTAATAACTAGTGTATCCAAAGTACTGATAAATGTTTCCTGAGTAAATCACTGTTTCAGTCAAGAGGTTTTATTTTTTATTAATTTGAGTGTATTTTTATTTATTTGAATGGTACACAGATACACACACACACACAGAGACATACACAAAGGGGGATGGGTGGGTGGAGGGAGGGATCTCCCACCTACTGGTTCACGATCCATATGCCTGCAATAGCCAGGGTTGGGCCAAGCCAAAGTCAGGGGCCAGGAACTCTGGGTCTTCAATAAGTGGCAGTGACTCTGACCTACTCAGCTATGACCACTTGCCTCCCAAGGTGTACATGAACAGGAAGCTGGCGTGCAGGGCAGGGCTGGAACTAAAACCAGGCACTCTGATATGGGATGCAGGGCTTCCACTTCCAAGTGGTGTCTTAGCCTCTGTGCCAACATCTGTACTTATTTATTTTAAAGATTTATTTATATTATTTGAAAGGCAGAGTTGCAGGGACAGAGAGTGAGAGATCTTCCAGTTGCTGGTTCACTCCACAAATGGCCACAATGGCCAGGGCAGAACCAGGCTCAAGCCATGATCCAGGAGCTTCATCCGGGTCTCCCACGTGAATTCAGGGGCCCAAGTACTTGGGTCATCTTCCTATGCTTTCCTAAGCCATTTTTAGGGAGCTGGATCAGAAATGGAGCAGTTGGGAATCTAATCAGTGCCCCTATGGGATGTCAGTGTTGTAGTCAGTGGCTTAACGTGCCACACAGTGCCAGCCTATTTTTTTTTTAAATAATGATCTCTGAGCAGGCAAAGCCAGGTTTAAAATGTTTATAACTGTGCAAGAGGCAGAGAGAGTGTCCCATCAGCCTTTTTGTTCAACATGTGCCTGAAACAGCTGGGGCTGGATTGTTATGAAGCTGGATGCTGAAATCTCATTCCAAGTCTTCCACATGGGTGGCAAAGACCCCATGACTAGAGGCATCACGGCTGCCCCCAAGGGTCTCCATTTGTCAGAGGCTGGAATTAGGAGCCAGAGGTGGTATCAAACCCAGATATTCCAGTGCGGGATGCAAGTGTCTTAACTGCTAGGCCAAAAACCCATTCCTTAAGAATTTTTAAATCTAGTTGGAATAAAATACTGAGCACTGGAGGGTGGAGAATCGAGTTGTTCAAAAATGACTAACACATTGGCATTACTTCCAGCCTAGGAGTGTGTTTTAAAATGTAGTATATTAATAGAAAATTTGAAGTATAGTAAGGTCAACAGATCAAGAGACAATTGCCATTTGAAAGTAAAGTTCACTGCTCACAGTGCCAAAGAGGACAGAGCTGCCTTGCCGTCGTGGGGAGTGCAGGTAGAGAAGCAACAGGGTGGGTCAGGAGATGGAGTGAAAGGGAAACTGGGCAGGAACCTTCATTCTGGCTTCCGTGGGAAGGAACAGTCGTGGCCTGCTAAGCAGGCATGGGACTGGCTAATCTGTATGATTTCAGCAGGGGCTGGAGTGCAGGTGCCATCTCTGAATTGTCTGGCACCTGGTCCTGGGCTGATCAGGGCAGGTGGACAATGGCTGAATGTTAGAACCTAAAAATGAGGTGGCTGGGGTGTGGACTCTGGGCTGGTGGGTGAGTATGGGAAAGCTCTCTCCCAGCTGAGTAGCTTACCATCTTTAAGAATCA